ACTTTGAGTTCAGAATTCCGACAACGGTCAGACAATAAATGCAGCACCGGAAACCTTACAGACATTCGACAAAGCACCGAATGGCCTGAAGGATCGAAGGAATCAAGAACAGAAGCCATTCCAAAGTCCCGTTACACCGACTGAAGGTTGGGACAATCATATCCAAAGTATTCCAGACTCTTCTATAAAAGAACGAGACTGAAATACTTTGGAGGGGGGATCTGTAGGTGTATAAAATTACTTATAGGTCCCTTAACACAGCTCGGCACAAACCGACGCGACGAGGTTAACGAATCGCCCGCAAACGACGGAATAGATCCACTCGCGTGCGGAATCAAGCTAACGGGTTGAAGAGTCAACGAGTCATCCATCCAAGGGCGGACTCGGACGAATCACGATCGAATCAAGATCAGTTTCGGACTCGAACTCAGAAGTGGATTTACTGCCAAATCAGGTCAACGATTCAAATCCGGATAAATCAACCACAGAACCGGATCACGGACTGAACCGAAAATGGAAAACGACGGAAAACCACGCCTATGGGTGTCTCGGCCATGTGCCGGCCACCTATAGGTGGCCGACCCAGATCTGTGCGCGGGCACAGTTCAGAGAGCCTATAAATAGGCCCCCTTGGTTCATTTTTCAAAGGTTGAAACTTGGAGAGCCGAAACTCTGCCGAATTGAGAATTGAGCTTGGAGTTTTTGAAGACTTGAGGACTTGAACATTCAGATCTGGTTCTCGGCGAGCATCCACGTCACAAAAGGCAGGAGTTCGAGAGAGAGAGAGATCAGATCTGAGATCTACACGAGATCATACTCCGGATCAAAGCTTGGCCTTTGATCCCGAGAACTAAGGGCGATTATTTCCTTGGTGAATTAATCCCCCCCGGCTATTATTTCCTTCACGAAATAATACCCGTCAAATCGTGTAGATCCGACCGGATCTAGATCGCGCGGTGGTCCACGGATTAACCCCGGCGTTGGCAAAGAACCCACACAAGCGAGCGATCGCAAAACAGGAGCTCGTGATTCGTTCGACAGGAAAGTTGTAATCTTTTTCTTTTTCTTTGATTTCGTTGTAACCGAATCTAAAAACAACCGGATCTTTTGTAACCAAAGAGCAATTACTTGAGATAACAATGAATTCAATGAAGGCAATTTTCACCGCGAACACCCATCTCATAGTATTAGCACAATGATATTTAAAGTTAACAACTTAGAATGTAAACATTCTCACCTAAATCCCTAACTAAACGAAATTGATATGTCAAGCGAAATAATCCAAACAAGGAAACCCTCATGTATATACCATATGTTTCAAATGATTAAGGATCAGGTGACAATATCCCCATTCTAGTGTTAAAGGTAAATATAAATGTGTCTAAACAACATAGATAATGACCTAGTGTTAAAGGTAAATATAAATGTGTCTAAACAACATAGATAATGACAATTATCAAAGCATCAACATTATACCTGTCCAAACAGGTGCGGGTAGTCACGACGAACATCTTGCTCGCGCTCCCAAAAAATCTCTTCGGCTCTTTGCCGGTTCCACTGAACTTTCACTAATGGAATGACTTTATTTCTAAGCTTTTTATTCTCTCTAACAAGTATACATACTGGAATCTCTACGGTAGTCAAGTCATCCTGAATCTCAATCTCTGGTGAGTCAATCACTCTCTGCTGCTCATCATCTCGCAGATGCTTCTTAAGCATCGAAATATAAAAAACATCATGTACACTCGACATCGATGCTGGTAGGTCTAACTTGTAAGAAACAGCTCCAATGCGCTCGATGATCCAGAAAGGACCAACATATCTCAGGGTAAGCTTCCCTCGTCTACCGAAACGCTGAACGTCCTTCATCGGTGATACTTTCAACATAACTAAGTCTCTGACCTGAAACTCTAAAGGTCATCTCCGCTGATCTGCATAGCTCTTTTGCCGACTCTAGGCTATAAGAATGCGCTCTCGAATCAATGCTATCTTTTTTTTGTGGTCTTTCTAACTAACTCCGGACCAATCAATAGACTATCCTCTGGCTCTGCCTAGCATATGGGTGATCTGCAAGGTCTCCCGTACAAAGCTTCATACAGTGCTATCCGGATGGTAGCTTGATAACTGTTATTATATGCAAATTCAACCAGTGGGGTGTGATCCTCCCAGCTACTCTAAAAATCCATAATGCAAGCTCTCAACCTCTAAAAATCCATAATGCAAGCTCTCAACCTCTAAAAATCCATAATGCAAGCTCTCAATCCATAATGCAAGCTCTAAAAATCCATAATGCAAGCTCTCACCTCTAAGATCTGATTCACCCTCTCGGTCTGACCATCTGTCTGGGGGTAAAAAACACTGCTAAGTGACAACTGACTACCAAAAGCATCCTGAAAACTCCTCCAAAAATGAGATGTGAAGAATGAGCCCCGATCTGATACAATAGTCTCCGGGACTCCATGCAATCTAACAATCTCCTGAATGAAGATCCTCGCATACATATCTGTTGTATAAGTCGTCCCCACTGGTAAGAAATGTGTAGACTTAGTCAATCTGTCCACTATAACCCAAATAGAATCATTTCCTTTCTTTGACTTAGGCATCCCCACTATGAAATCTATGGAAATATCTGCCCACTTCCACTCGGGAATGGGTAAAGGCTGTAGGGTTCCTACACGTCTCTGATGTTCTGCCTTAATCTGCTGACATGTAAAACACTTAGCCACATACTATGAAATCTCTCTATGAATACCACACCACCAGAAATGCCTCTTCAGATCCTTGTATATTTTCGTCGTGCTTGGATGCACTGTATATCTGTTACGATGCGCCTCATCAAAAAATTCCTTCTTTAGTTGTAAATTGTTTGGCATAACAATTCTTCCCTTCATCCGAAGGCCTCCATCTATCCCTATAGTCCAATCATCCTTGGACTTTTTGGAAATCTCCCCCTTATGGGTTTGAATCCAAGAATCCTCTATCTGAGCTTCGACCACTCTATCTCTCCAAGATGACTGTACAGATAAAGCTCCTAAAAACACACGGATCTCGCCAATCTCTGGCCTAAAATCAAAGTGACTGAGGATATTAAGATCCCAATGAAGTGAACACTTCAAAGCTGCTAGCCCACGATGACACTTCCTGCTTAATGCATCTGCTACCACATTCGCCTTTCCCGGATGGTACTGAATAGCAAATTCATAATCCTTAATAAATTCTATCCATCGACGCTAACTCTGATTAAGTTCTTTCTAAGAAAAGAGGTATTTTAAACTCTGGTGATCCGTGAATAGCTCAAACTATACTCCGTACAAGTAATGTCTCCACGCCTTCAATGCAAAAACCACCGCTGCTAGCTCCAAGTCATGCGTAGGGTAGTTCTGCTCATGAGTCCTCAACTGCCTCGAAACGTAAGCTACAACTCTCTGGATCTGTTTCAATACACCTCCAAGACCTAATAAGGATGCATCAGTGTAGACAATAAAAGTCTTATCACTTCTAGGAATAACCAAAGCTGGCGCTGAAGTCAATTTAGTCTTCAAAGTCTCAAATGCCTTCTGGCACTCTATGCTCCAAATAAACTGTATACCCTTCTTAGTAAGGTGTGTAAGCGGTGTGGCAATCCTCGAGAAGTCCTGAATGATTTTCTATAATAGACTGCTAGGCTTAAGAAGCTACGAATCTCGGTAACTATCTTCGGTGGCTCCCAATCAAGTACGGCTTCTACCTTAGCCGAATCTACTGCAATGCCCTCCCGGCTGATGACATGGCCCAAAAATCTAACATCTGATAACCAGAATTCACACTTGCTAAATTTAGCATACAACTGGTGTTCTTTCAACATTTGTAATGCTAACCTCAAATGCTGCTCGTGCTCGGCCTCCGATCTCGAATAGATAAGAACATCGTCGATGAAAACTAACACGAACTGGTCCAAATAAGGATGAAAACCCAATTTATCAAATCCATGAATACTGCGGGAGTATTGGTCAGCCCAAATGGCATGACAAGAAACTCAAAAGACCCATATCGAGTCAAGAAAGCGGTCTTGGTAATATCCATCTCCCGAACTCGCAACTGATAATAACTAGAATGGAGATCTATCTTTGAGAAACACTGTACACCCTACAACTGGTCGAACAAGTCATTGATCCTTGGTAATGGGTACCTGTTATGAATTGTGACCTTGTTCAACTCGCGATAATCTATACATAATCACATATTTCTGTCCTTCTTCTTCACAAAGAGGACCGGTGCTCCCCACGGAGAATGACTCCGTCGAATGAAGCCCTAAGACAACAACTCATCTATCTGGATCTGTAGCTCCCTCATCTCAGCAAACGCCATACGGTAAGGAGCTCGGGAAATCGGTGCGGTGCCTAGCTGCAACTCTATACAAAACTCGACCTCTCTCACTGGAGGTAATCCTGGTATGTCCTGGAAGACATCCTGGTACTCTAAGACTACTCGCATCTCACTCAAATCTACGCCCCGATCCCGTAATATCACATCCTCTACGTATGCCAAAAATAACTCCGCAAACTGGTTGCCTCTGGAGGTAGCTACCACTAACTCAGACCCATCAAATGCTCGCAAACTGACTATTTTCGCAAAATAGTCAATACTCACATGGTAGGAAGATAGTCAATCCATACCAAGAATCACATCAAATTCAGACATATGCAACACGATCAAATCAATCGCGAACTCAGAATCGTCTAAGCTGACGATGCATCTCCTACAAATATTTTCTAACAGAGACATCTCTCCTAACGGAGTGGATACGGATAAAGGAAAATCTAACGGCTGAGCTATAAGCTAGAGTCTAACCGTAAAATCATAGGAGATAAAAGAATGTGAAGCGCCAAAATCAAAAAGAATACGTGCTGTAAAGGGATTCACACGAAATATACCTTCTACCACAGCTCCGTTCGCGCCATGATCGCGAGGAACAACTGCATACACTCTACCGGTCTGCTGTTCTGCATCACCTGGAGTGAATGGTGTCATCTGTCTTTGCTGGATCTCCTGGACCGCTCGAACCTGTCCCTCAATCCTCGGGACTGCTGGAGGTGCCTCAATCCTCAGCTGCTGGCCTTGACCATGTCCTTGAGCATGGTTCTGCTGATGCTGCTGAGTCCTGCCCTGCTGGCCTGCTGCGGGTGCACTGCGACACTCTGCTGCTCTGTGTCCAATCTTGTTACAATTGTAACAAGCCCCCTAAAATCAGCGCTGCTACTGCGCTCTCTGGTCTTGTTGATGGCCCTTCTTATGGAGACCCTGCTGATGCAGACCCTTACCCTGCTGATGGGGTCCTCCTGAGCCTCCAAATGGTCTCTTACCCTTTCCTTTGTCCTCAGACTGTCCTGACTTACCATTGTCCTTGCCCTTGATGAATATGGCTGTATCTGTCTCCTGAGCCATGGCAGCAACTGCCACCTCCTACACTGAACAAAACCTCTGAGATACTATGTACCGACGTAACCCTGAACGAAGTCCCATCAGGAACATCTGAGCCTGACGCTCCTCTGTGTGCCACATACCGGTGAACCTAAGCAATGACATGAACTTACCCTCAAAGTCCATGATAGACATATCCCCCTGCTTTAATCGAGCCAGCTCTAACTCTTTTCCGTCTTTCGTTGCAACCGAAACATACTGCTCATCAAAAAGATATATAAAGGTCTCCCACGAAACTATCATCCTCTGCTCTGGGGTGAAACAAAGTCGATACCATCCTCCTGCGTCGCCCTTGAGACTGAAAGCTGCTAACCTTTACTTCTGCACAGTATTCACATTAAGCATGTCCAGAATGTTGCTTACATCCTCCTTCCATTTGTGTGCCGCAATGGAGTCCGTCGAACCATGAAACTCTGGAGCCTTCAACTTCTGATACCTCTCTACCAAACGAAGCCAAGCCTTCTGCTCAGCCACTCCATCATCAACTGGTGGTGGTAGTGCAACTACTGGTGTCCTCTCTGGTATCTCCTACTAAATGGGAGTTCCCTGTCGAACCTGATCTGCTAATTACTTCTCAATAACCACCAAACGAGTTACCAAGGGCGCTATGAGATCTACTAAGTACTGTGGAGCTTACTGTAGCTCGGGCTCCCTATCATCCTGTTCAACTCCCTGAGCACGAGTAACTCGGCGTCCACGACCTCTTCCTGACATCTATAATTCCAAAATAAAGCTTATTACGCAGTAAATAGGATCTCAAGCATGAAGGATATAACATATACCAATAAGTAAATCATATCAAAATAGGATCTCAAGCATGAAGGATATAACATATACCAATAAGTAAATCATATCACATATATCTCATATGATGCTTTATTATTCAAAGCAAATAGATCATTAAAAAAAATTTAGATTTTCCGCGTACATATATTGTACGTCCTCACTCATACTAAGGATTCCTAGTGGACTGTATACATGATCCCTAGTAAACTCTATCCTAACTCCACAATATGACACAGGGATAATCCTAAGGATATTGGAACTAGAGCTCTGATACCAACTATGACGTCCCAGGGTTCACACAAGGCTACAGTCCAAGATGAATCCCGGATTGTCAAACCTGCTAAGCACCAACCACCATGCTACGATATGTTTCACCATCACAATCACTATCTCTCTAGTGAAAACAATAAATAGGTGAAGGTACAAACAGGTAAAAATAGCAAATACAACACTGGATATACACAGAAGAAGCATAAGAAATATCAATAATGAGCCCAACTAAAATAAAATAGAAATATCTCTGAGTATAAACTGGATCCCAAATACAATGAGTCAAATAAACCAAGTCTCACAAAAGCTCTCAACTCTAAACTAAAATACCAATCTAGAGTCTGAAAATAATCAACTACATGTGGAGTTCTGCAATAACTACAAAGTATAATAAGTAGCTAATTGGACAAATAAGAAGTCCCATTAACCTGCGACTCTCCGTGCACCAGACTCGCTGCCTGAAAGATGAGAAATAACGAGTGTCAAAGTGCTAGCGAGATCATCACTATCTCTCCTCAGGGGAAGGGGTAGGAATATATAAGAAAATAAAGTCAGTACTTACATATATCAAATCATTCATATAGCTCTCTATAAAAAACAAATAGTCAAGGAAACATACTCAAATCTCTAACATAAAGAATAAATACATCATCTTGAATTACATCCGAGTAGCCTGCTCTAATATAAGAGGATGTCAACCAAACCAAAATGAATATAACTGCCGTCTATAACGGGTGTGCTAAAATCTCAAAGGAAATACCCTACTCGCGAGTAATCTATCATGGAAGTAAAACTTACAACTGATCAAATATCTATGTGTGCATCATCTTGTGCTATAGCGATACTCTTGTAATGCTCTTACTCAATCGCTCTGCGGCAATAGGATTTATTATCTCCTTATTCCGGATACATGTAATAACGATACCATTATAATATTCTTACTCAATCGTTCGACGGTAATAGGTTTTATCTGTTAGACCCTAGAGTGGGGTGATTAGGGTCTTATGCTAATCTAATCCGATTATATGCCAATTAAAACTATTAACAGAATATCCTAGCAAGAATGAAATGCAATAAGATATATTAGCTAGGATAAGGCAATATGAACAATGAAATATATCCTAGCAAAGAGATATACTTTGAGATATATATATGCAAGGATATGAAACTAACACAAGGGTAAACAATATGAAATAAGATAGTGGATGATATAAATAATGAGACAATGGCGATATGAGCAATGAGCACAAATATAAATAAATACCAAAGCACACTCAAACACAATCAAATGATCATGGAGTTCGGACCTTCCGTCCTACGTCTCCGCTCCCCACTCCTGGGGAGAAATCCACTATCACAACAGGGTTTTCTACGCTCACCCGAATAACGTTTACAACCACACTATGTCGGTTTTTAACGATCACCGATCAACGTATACACTCACAATTATAATATCGGTTTTCAACGTTAACCGATCAACGTACACTCATCACACTCGGTTTTCTAGCTAACCGAAAACTTTACAATCTCACAATTGTAACAAACAATAAATTTGTTCTCTACAATAGATGAGAACTCAATATAGCTTACTCTCAATTGTTACAAATTCCCACAACCTAAATTATACTATGAATGTAAATACAATAAGATCAATGGTTATGTGTGTAAGCAATGAGAAAATCAAAACAACAAAACTCAATTAAAATCTAGCATATAGAAATTATGAACAAAACAATAAATAGCTAGAAATAGAGTTTAGGAATTTTTCTTTGAAAGACAAGATGGAGAGAATGATTAAAATGAAGCTCAAACAATGTAGATGATATTCTCCACTTGTAAAACAATCTTCATAAACCAAACAGACTTTAAACCCAACTAAAACCCATTTCAAAACTCTTTTAAACTTCCTTTAAAACTATCCATTGGGTTGCAGAGATAGAAGGGGGTTTGAGGGTTTATATAGGTAGAGAAACAACAGCAAAAACCCCCAACCAAATCTCACAAAAACCTAGAAAAAGATTTTTTAGATTCTGTACAAAAAGAGCTGTTGGGCATACGGCGGTCGACCGTGGAAAACTCACGGTCAACTACGAGCCAGATAAGAAACCCAGAAAACTTCCAGAGACTTACGCGGTCAACCGTGGCGGTCGACCGTGAGAATTTTTTAGCTGACAGTCGACCGTGACGGTCGACCGCAAAAGTTTCTGCTACCCACTCAGGAAAAGACATAGGCGCGGTCGACCGCAAACTGACATATGAAAAATTCAGGGTTGAAAGTTGATTTTATGATTTTAAAACCATGTTTAAAAATATCAAATAAATTTCAAAAATTATAAAACTTTAGGAAATGATTATAGACATAATAATACACATGCTACAAAAATTGGTTTTCTAAAAGGACTTCCCAAATGAGAAATATCATCATTTTTTAAAATAGTCCAAAACATGAAAATGTAAACATATGAATTTTGACATTTTGGCTAAAACATGTTTTGAAACTTTACAAAATGATTTTGTAGACTTGATAAAAGATGTATATGATTGTTATTAAGTCCATAAACTGAGAATACAATATTTTTACAAATACAGTAGAAAATGAAACATATGAGTATGTATATGAAAATATATTTGTTTCATATCTAAGTAGTTAAACCAAATCACAATAATAAATATGAAATATGTAATTTCATATTTATAAACATGAAAACCAAAACTTGTGTTGTATATATATATGACTACATATATATACAAGGAAACCAATAAAATATGTGTGTATATGATATTGAGCTTAACGTACTAACACACATAATATAAAACCTAAACTAAATTACCCAAGCTATCTTGATCTTTAATAAGCTTGACTTGGTAAACTTACGGATGAAGATTGAACTTGGATCTTTAACTTGAATTGTATGGCTTCACTCCACAATTCCGCCAACCTCCATTTGATATGATCGTGAATACTGAATTCCATCCATCCGCCAACATATTGTTTGACTAGAATAAATATAAAACACAAACACTAGATAAACAATATTAGATGTAAATTATTTGTAAATCATCATCAAAACAAGAAGGCCAACAATCTCCCCCTTTTTTATGATGACAAACAATTTACAAAAAGGATATATGCATGAAAGGAAATGAATATACAAAGAATAATATATCATGCATATAAACAAGAAAGAATATACTCACAATATTTCTCCCCCTTTGACAACATCAAAAAGGGGAAAACCATATAGATGAAAGAGAGTGAAAGCTCCCCCTACCTATAAGCATGGGTGAGTATAACACATAGAAAGATATAGGGATTGCTCCCCCCTATCAAAATGCCTCATGAATGTATGAAAAGAATGCTAAGGCATACATATGTGAGAAAGCATAGATTAAAAACATACTAAACATAACTCACATACAAAAAAGATAATGAGAACACATATAAATATGTTAATATGAAAGAAGTGTCTCATTACACAAATATAAAAACATAGTGTATAAAAATAGATTTATAAAATCAAAAGATAGATCATGAGAATCATGCAAAAAGTTTTCAAATCAACCAAATGAAATCATAAATCAAAGTGTAAATCCAAAAACAATGTTTGATCAATAAAGAAAACTTTCTTTGTAGGACTTGATCAAACCACTCATAGAATACATTATAAAGCATATTTAAAATTTGAATCATCTATTTGTGCTTATATAATGAATTCAAACGAACAAATCAAAACAAAATTTCCATAGTTCAAAAATAAGATTACAAAACGCACAAGAATCATGAACTATGGATAAGAAAGAAATCATATTTAAAAGTATAAACTAAATCATCATTGATTTTCACAAATGAGAGAGGCAACCATATCTACCTCTAGAGCTAGTATCAACCCATATAAACATTTTAGCATCCGGTAAATAAGATTTGAGAATAAACACCCAATAAACCCGGAGGGTGTATAACTACAAACCTCTCATTTAAAATTGAAACTCATAGTCATGAAAACAAAAGAATTGATCAAAAAAAATTATTTTCATGTTCAAAGATTTCAAAGCATAATTTTTAAAACCAAGAAAAAGAAAAATAAAAACATTAAAAAATTCTTGGTTTAAACTTAAATTTGTTTTGGTACCCAAGTATTTTTTGTACCAAAAGGTTTAGGGACATGACCCCTATCATTAAAGCTCAAAGCCCTAGGGTTATGAACCCTCTTGGGCATATGTGGTACACTAGCACAGACAAAACAATAATCTTGCAAATGACCCTTCCGATTGCAATTTGTGCAATGAAAGAGATCCATTTGTTTTAGTGGACCATTAGCTCACTACAACAGACATGTCTTTTAGCGACAAACTTTTTTTCGAGAAAATTATTTTCCTCAACAAATATCACTTTCGACGAGGAAAATATTGTTTCCTCGATAAATATCAGTAGGTCTTCTACGAGGAATATATTTTCCTCACAGCAGACCACTTTCTGCGATGAAAATTTTTGTTCCTCACTAAAGATGATCATGATTTGGTCTCCTAACTAGTTATTTTATTGACGAGGAAATATGAGATTTTGGTGATGAACTTTTTCATCGCAAAATGCACATTTAATGAGGAAATAATAATTTCATCGCTGTTCTTTTGGTGAAAAATAGAGGAAAACCTGCCAAATGTAGCAGCGACAAAGTATGATTTCCTCGCTAAAGATCCATAATCCGCGAGGAACCGTTTCCTCATCAAAGTATTAATTAGTGAGGAAATAATAGTTTCCTCATTATTAGTTTGGCGGGAAAGAAAAAACCCGCTAATTTCAATGGTGACAAATTTAAGACTTCCTCGCTAAAAGTTTTTTGTTTTTATGAGGAACCGTTTCCGCGTTAAAAAGAACCTATTAGTGAGGATATTATAGTTTCGTCACTATTAATTTGGCGGAAAAATTTGCAACACCCGCCAAATTCATTGACGACAAATTAAAGGTTTCCTCGCTAAAATTTTTATTTTATGAGAAACTGTTTCCTCATTAAAAAACCAATTAGCGAGGAAATAATAGTTTCCTCATTATTAGTTTGACGGAAAAATGTGCAAAACCCGTCAATTTCAATAGCAACAAATTTAAGGTTTCCTCGCTAAAAGTTTTTATTTTACGAGGAACCATTTTGTCGTAAAAAAAAATAATAGCGAGGAAATTATAGTTTCCTCAATATTAATTTGGCGGAAAAACGTGCAACACCTGCCAAATTTATTAATGACAAATTGAAGGTTTCCTCACTAATTTTTTTGTTTTACGAGGAACCCTTTCCTCGTTAAAAGAATCAATTTGCGAGGAAATAATAGTTTCCTCATTATTAGTTTGGCAAAAAAATGTGCAAAACCCGCCAAATTCAATGGCGACAAATTTAAGGCTTCCTCGCTAAAAAATTTTGTTTTTCGAGAAATCATTTCCTTGTTAAAAAAACCAATCAGTGAGAAAATAATAATATCCTCATTATTCGTTGGCGAAAATTTTAGTTGGAATTTGGGTAAAAAGTAGGCGGGTACTTCAAAAAAAAAAGAGGGAGTATTGCCAACGAATAATGTAGGCGGGTACCAAAAAATATAGTTGGTTGCTAAATGATATTTAATTATATCTCAATTAAATTAAAGGAAAAAATAAATAATTTTATTAAAATTAAGGTGGGAAACCAAATTACGGGACCAAATAAAACCGGGAAACAAATTAAGAAGGCGGTGATTTCTTTCTCTTCTAACCTCCGCTATCCCTCTCGATTAAACCCTTCCGCTTTGATCAACTCATCCTCATCACCTCTGCTCTCCCTTTGATTAAAACCCTCCGCTCTCACCTCATCCTCATCCCCTCCGCACGATCGGCCCAAAAAACTCCGGCCGCTCTCAACAAAGCCCTGATCCTCTTCACGACCCAACAAAGCTCCGCTCTGAAAGTCTTAATTGATCTCCGATCACGCCTCAAGACCGTCGATTTCTAGATCATTGGGCGTCTGTCCGATCACACCTCAAGACTGCCGTTTTCCAGATCGTGGTTGCTTCTCTCCCCCTTTCTGATATCTAGGTATTTTAAACCTTATTATTATTTTAACTTGTAAAAATCCCCAATCCGCTATCAATTCTGTGCATCTAATTAATATAGAAAAAACCTTTGTTTTTTATTTTGTATACAAAAAAGTAACTGTGAGATTTGGGAGATTTGAATCCTGTTGAATCGATTAGAGGCCTATGTTTTTGTTGGAATTTCTATGAATTTCCTGGAATTTCTGTGAATTTCCTGGAAACTGTGGTTGAGTGACATGGATTTCATGATATCTTCACTTAGAATTTTTTTTTGATGATTTGAGTCTATGTTGTTTAGTTGATGGCTCTGTGAAGTTTTAGCGCATTTAGATCTCGATATCTGATCAGATTCTTCTATATTTTGAAATTTGCTACAATTTTAAGTTTTGTTTAGCTGCTGCAGGTGTGGTTATGGGAGATTTCATTAAGTTTTGTGTTGTGCTACAATTTTAAGTTTTGTTTAGCTGCTGCAGGTGTGGTTATGGGAGATTTCATTAAGTTTTGTGTTGTGATTTGTCTAATCTTTTTTATATCATGCTGCAGGTGTGGTTATGGGAGATTTCATTAAGTTTTGTGTTGTGATTTGTCTAATCTTTTTTATATCAATTGTGAAAATTGAAGTATTTCATGATTTTAATTACGTTGAACTGATCATAGGTCTAGTTTTTCCAATTTGCGGTGTATTTAGTTTCTGTGTGATTTTAGTGTTTGTGTTAGGTGATGTGAGGTGTAGTTCTAGTTTTGGAGGAATTTTGCACTGTTATTGCGATTTAATTTATCTTTTTTTATTTTTCGTGAGATTTGAACTGCGTTGAACTAATTAGAGGTTAGTTTTGTGGAATTTGTGTGAAGTTTGTGCAAATTGCATGTAGATCATTTTTATGGAATTGAAGTTTTTTGTGAGGTTTAGTTGTTGTTAAGTCGATACAAGGTCTGGTTCTCAGGAAGAAAGATGAAATTTGAGGTCCACTGATGTTGTCTGCATGTTGTTTTCAAGAATTAGTTGACAAGTTGAAATTATGTGGTTTTTTATGACTACTATGTAGATTTGAATGGGACGTTGGAGTTTTGAGGAGTTTGATGGTGATCATTGATGAGTTTCCATCAGATTCCTATGGTTAGTTTGGAACTGAAGTTGAAAATTCTTAGGCGCATCTAATTTATTATGGAAATTAAGTATTCTTGGGTGATTGGATTGTTGCTGAGTTGTGGCATATTCTAGTTTGACTTATGGAGACAAAGGTAGAGTGACGTTGATTTGGTAATTGCCAAGTCTGTTTGTGTTTGAAAGTCTAGAATCTCTAGATTCTATTGAAGTTGTGCATATTCACAAAACCTGACATTTTCCTGTTTAATGCTTATCTGATATTGCTTTCCGTTATTTACAGAATTCATGCAGATTTGAATCTTTACGAAGTCCGTCTAAAAAGTTTAATAGAGTTCAACATCATATTTTAATGGATTATATTGATCTTATTTCTCGTCTTTACTTTTTTTGTTTTCCATCATATTAATGTTTTGCCCTTTGTTTCTTTTTTATTCTGGTATTTTCAATTGTCCTCAATTTGAATGATTAATTGTTCATTGAATGATCACAGCTCAGCTTGAAGTTTATAGACACTGAAGTTTTTCAAAGGTAATCTTGCTTCATGGTGTTTGTTTATTTCACTTAGTTTAACAATTATGGAGTAACTTTTCACTATTTTAATTTATTTTGCGACAGGCTACGAGACTTGAAGCAATTAGGTAAACTTCATTTAATCTAACATTGGTTTTGGTATGTTACTTTTGATATATCAACTTGACTGGTAACATGCTCGATGTAATCATTTAATCTAACAATTTTTTAATCCTTTTTAGGATGGACAGAAGTTGGATGTCTGTTAAAGATAGGTTTCACAACCCTGACTTCACCAATGGTTTAAAAACATTTCTGGATGCTGCGAAACAACACCTAGATCATGAAAATAAGACGCGTTGCCCATGTGTTAAATGTCAAAATGCCTTGCCGTTTCTTTCTCTACCCGAGATACGCAGACATATACTTGTAAATGGGTTTGCACAATATTACACGACATGGACTGAGCACGGGGAATATTTTGTTGAAGTCGCAGACGACCAAATGTATGAGGATTTTGAAAGTGACAGCGAAGATGATGATGATGACAATGCTGCGATGTTGGACATGTTAAATGATGTCCAAGGGGCTATAAGTATGGAGACAGATGATGAGAACGATATTCATGTTAACAAATATGATTATTTGTTTAATGAAGCTCAACGAGAACTATACCCGGGTTGTACAAAGTTCTCTGCATTATCTTTTATTACAAAATTAATGCAGATCAAGATAGATGGTCGTTGGAGCAATAAAAGTTTTAAAAATCTGCTGAAATTGTTAAATGACTCGTATCCAAAAGGTGCATCCATACCAACATCGAATTATGAAGCCAAAAACATGTTGTTGGAATTGGGTTTGGGGTATGAATCCATACACGCATGCAAGTATGATTGTGCACTGTTTTATGGGAAAGAGAATAAGAAACTGGATGAATGTCCAGTGTGCAAGGAGCCGAGATACAAATCTTGTGATGGCAAACGCAAGAAAGTTCCACAAAAAGTATTGCATTATTTTCCATTGAAGCCGAGACTTTGGAGGTTGTATATGTCGAGACATACATCGACTGAAATGAAATGTCATAAAAGAAGAAGACAAAATGAAGAGGGTTTCCTACGACATCCAGCTGATTCTGCCGAGTGGAAACACTTTGATCAGGAGTATCCTGACTTTGCTGCAGATTGTTGAAATGTGAGGTTGGGGCTTGCTACAGATGGTTTTAATCCATTTGGAAACATGAGCACTAGTTATAGTATGTGGCCAGTTATGCTAGTGCCGTACAATCTACCTCCTTGGAAATGCATGAAAGGAGTGTATTCAATGATGTCATTACTCATACCTGGTCCTCGAGCACCTGGGAAAGACATTTATGTGTATCTTCGTCCATTAATAGACGAATTAAAAGAATTGTGGGATATTGGAGTTGAAACTTTTGATGCCTCTAGTGGGAGAAATTTTAATTTGCGGGCATGTGTATTGTGGACTATAAATGATTTTCCTGCTTACGGAAATTTATCTGAGTGGAGCACAAAAGGGTACAAAGTTTGTCCTGTTTGTAATGAAGATGTAACTTCAGAGGGGTTGAGAGGAAAATTATGTTTTATGGGAGCTCGACGAAATTTGCCTGAGGATCATGAGTGGAGAAGGAGTAAATATTTTAACGGTTTAGTTGAAGATCGTCCTCCTCCAAGATTATTTTCTAGGGATGACATATTGCGGCAATTAGATCGTGTTTATAAAGCTAGGCCTGGAAAACATCCTGACAATCCTGATTTAAAGCGACATCGTGAGCCTCATGAGCTAAACTGGACTAGAAAGAGTATTCTTTTTGAGTTAGAGTATTGGTCCAAGCTCAGGTTGAGACATAATATTGATGTGATGCATGTTGAAAAAAATATATGTGATAGTGTCATTAGTACTTTGTTGAATATAGATGGGAAAACAAAAGGCACCAACAAGGCTCGTTTGGACTTGGCAGATAGGAAGATAAGAAAAGAATTGCATCTCACACGTCAAGAGAATAAATTGAAGAAGCCTCATGCTAGATATGTTTTGAAATTGGAATACCGTAGGCTGTTTTGTAAGTTCCTCAAAGTTGTTAAATTTCCTGATGGGTATGCTGCCAATATTTTCAAAAATGTGAACATTGTCGATGGGAAGATACATAATTTAAAAAGTCATGATTGCCATGTTTTACTTCAACGCCTCCTCCCAGTTGGTATTCGTTCATATTTGGACAAGGATGTGTGCACTGCAATTGTTGAGCTGGCCATTTTTTTCTAACAGATATGTGCAAAAACTTTAAAGGTGTCAGACTTGGAAAGAATGGAGAAGGAGATTGTTATAATATTGTGCAAATTAGAGAGAATTTTTCCACCGGCTTTTTTTGATGTAATGGTTCACTTGGCAGTCCATTTACCTCGTGAAGCTTTGCTTGGTGGTCCAGTTACCTATCGGTGGATGTATCCTATTGAGAGAAATTTAGGAACATATAAAAAGTATGTTACAAATAAAGCTTGACCTGAAGGTTCTATTGCAGAAGCATATATTGTCAATGAAGCAGTGACATTTTGTTCTATGTATTTTTGTGAGATTGAAACCCGTATCAATCGGGCAGAACGAAATGTAGATGTAGAAGATGACCAAGTAGTAGATGGTTTATTGATTTTCTCTCAGAAAGTTCGTCCATTCTGCGGAAAAAATATATACTACTGGACCGGAAGGAAGTGAATAAAGCTCATTAGTATGTACTATACAACTGTGACGAGGTGAAACCTTATCTCAAGTAAGTGTCTTTTTTGCATTTGTGTGTATTGAGTTCAATTTTTTTAATTCAGATTAGAGATTGAATTATCTAATTTGTAAATTATCTAATTTGTACCTGTAGGGAACATGAGGATTTGTTAAGGCAAACAAGTAACCATAAGTTGTATGAAAGACAAGAAAATGAGTTCCCTGATTGGTTTGAAAAAAAAGTAAGTTCATACACAATTTTAAAGAGTAGTTAGTTATTTTATATGACCACTATGCTAACTTTCTTGTTTCAATAGTTATTCATAGATGATTAAAAAGAGAGAAAACAGATTAATGGATGCAACTGATGAGAAGCTTTATTGTCTAGCATGTAAACTAGATTTACGTGTTCATACGTACACTGGTTGTATCGTGGATGGAGTTAGATATCATACAAAAGATCTTGATGATCATCGGACAACTCAAAATAGTGGGGTGTATGTCCCTGGAGTTTTTATTGGCGGAAGTCATGATTATTATGGTGTTTTGCTAAGTATTGTGAAGTTAACATACTTAGATATGAATCAAGTTTTCTTATTCAAGTGTAAATGGTTCAACACCAACGAATCAAGTAGAGACGAAAGGAGAAGAATGATACGGTATGATTATAATCTTACTAGCATTAATACAAGCTCTACGTGGTATGATGATGAACCATTCATACTTGCTATGGAAGCCCAACAAGTGTTTTATCTCGATGACTGTAAGTTGGGTTCACCCTGGAAAGTTGTACAAAAGGTGCAATTGAGAAACGTGTGGGATGTTCCGGAGGTCGAGGATACAAGTGGAGTGATAGTTGAGGATGATGTAGATCCTGTGACAAATGATGCTTATCAACAAGACGAGTTTAATGATGTTCACTAGTTCGTTCAAGAAGAGGGCCTTGAAACTCCAGAATTGCATCTTAATGATATTAACCCAGAAATTGTTGCTTCAGAGGTTGTGAACGATGATTGGATGAATGATGGTAGTGAAGATAATTTGATAAATGATGATACTGAAGAAGAAGATGATCCGGAAGATGGTGATGAAGAACCAATCATTTCAAGTGATGATGAGGATAGTGATTAGTTTATATCACAATTTTAATGTTCTTTTTTTGATTTGCGCGGGATGTTTTAGTTTGACATAATTTGATAAATGTAGCTATAATTTTACTGTTATTTTTTCTTGATGCTGCGATTACGTTGCAAGATTAAGAGGGGGATGCTTGAATTAGTAGTAAAATCTCCTTCCTTCTTTTTGTTATTTGTTGAAAGTGGTTTAGTAGCTATAATTGTAAGTAGTTTTTGAATCCATGTCGTGTGGATGTTTCCAATAAGTCTGGATGCTACTTGTCCAGCCTTTTCTTCTATTTCTCCAGTTTCAGATATTGTTGACCCTATAGTTTTGATGATGATTTGACAAACAATTTATTACTAATACGTTTTTTCCAGTGTTTTGTGTTTATGTTCTCTTTTCAGGTATTTCAACACAGCGTTAAAGATTCAAGTTCATCTGCGTGGGTTTACTTAGGTATATGATCAGTTTACTTACATATATAGTATGATTATATCTAAGCTCAATATATATACACTTAACACGATTTTTGACGTTTTATATCATATAGATGATTTTTCTTAAAACATTGTTAAAATATCTTTATCTCTTGTTTACAGCTCTCTCACGCTTTGCTATATACATATAATTTATGCACAATACATATATGAATATTTACAAGTCCTATTTCAAATTTCACTTTCATAAAAATACAGGTTTTCTAAGCATTTTTCAAAAACAGGTAGTTTTCACAAACGAAATTTGTTTTTCCAAAAATTCCTTTTCAAACATGTTCATTTCATCATTTATAAACTTTCCCCAAAGTTTCACTATTTTTGGATATGATTTGATATTTTTAACGAGTTTTCGGTGAACTTGTAAACCGAGTGTGTAGAAGTTCCGGCTTCCAAACCGGATTGTGATAGTGGATATCTCCTCGAGGTGAGGAGCGGGGACGTAGGTCGTGGGGACCGAACCTCGTAAACATATCGTGTGTTTGTGTTTTGCTTGTCTCACATTTTATTTGTGCATATTCTTATTATTCTTATTGTTCTTATTGTTCATATCTATCTCTTGTAAGAACATATTGATCAACATAATTTTAATTGCTATTAATTGGGATTAGATTAGCATAAGACCCTAATCACCCCCCCTCTAGGGTCTAACAATTGGTATCAGAGCTTGGTGCTCTTTGATTTAAGGACTAACCGCCTTGAGTTAAAGATCCAAGTTATTGTATTAGTGCTAATCTAATTTTGATTAATTGTGCTTCTTGCATTTCATCTCTATGGATATGAATGATTCATCTTGCTTAGGATATGCTATTAATATTGCTCCTCGTTTGGATATTTTCCCCTACGCTCAATGGCGCATTAGATTCAAACTTTTTGTTCAATCTAATCAATTTGATTTGTGGGAAATTATTGAGGATGGTTATGTTATTCCCATCTTGGAAAAATCCAAATGGTGTGATAATGATAAAAGATTGTTTAACATGAACAAGCTTTTGCTAGGATTTTTGATTAGCGCTTTTCACTCATCGTTTTCTAACAAACTTGCTAATTTTGATAGTGCTTATGCTTTATGGAAACTTATTGAAGCACATGAAGGAAAATTGGAGGCTATTCAACAAGCGTTGGAAAATCCCGCTTTGAGCTCTAAGGAAGCCTCATCCCCATGTACAACACCACTAGGTAGTAACCCTAGTGAGGTATGCGATAACGATGATATTCTTACTTTTGATGAACTTGCTCTTGAATTTGAAAAATTACACAATTGCTATATTAATGTAAAGAGTAAGTATGTTAATTTAAAATCCACTCATGAAACACTAGCTATTAAGTTTAATTTTATTACAAATGAAAATAAAATTCTTAAAGAATACAATGAAAATTTGAAAATTAAAAATGCTAGTTTGCTTCATGAAAAGTGTGATGCGATGTTAGAAGTAGATAAGTTGAAATCTATGATGAGTAATCTTGTTTATCCTACTTCTAATAGCAATGCTTGTATGCACAATGATGAGTTGAATCAAATGAGAAAAAGAATATCTACCTTAGATTCAACACTAAACACTTGTATTGCTAATAATAAAAAGCTTATGGACTTATGTGCAAAGTTCAATGTTAATTCTTCTAAGAAACCTATTCACTATGCACATATGTATGACAAAATTCACAAATGTTCTATTTGCGGTCTTAAAGGCCATTTAGCTCAATTTTGTCATAATGCACCAAAAACTGACAAGCCTACACATGATTGTGCATCCCAACAAGCTTCATCATCACATACTCATGTACACACACATAGTGTAAATCATAAACATGCTTATGTGTACAAATGTGATTATTGTGGTC